GATTTGCATACAAATGTTAGTGATATAAAATTGCCTGCTTATATTGTTGATCAAAAGAACTTCGTAACAAAATTGAATTAGACTTTTTTGTGTGTGGAAAGAGTGAAACGATTCGTAGAGCTTCAAAGAATGGAGTTCTTGTCCCAAATAGGCAAGATGACACTGAAACCAAGACGCAATGAAATCTATCGGCCTAAGTATTCAAATATTAATAAATGTTATGCCTATGAATTAGTGACTTATATAAATAAAATCATCTTAATCCTCAGATTACCAATATTGTGTTATACTTTTCACTACGGTGGGGTACACATACTGTACCAGATTGGATAATTTAACAGTTTTCTGTGTTACCACATTCAGTATAAAATACTGATTAAACAATTGAGTGAAGTCATTAATTTTCTATATAAAATACAGAGGGGGGCAAGTAATAGTTGGTGGGATTAACTGTAGTATTGAAGATAATTTTTTTTTAACTTTTTGTGTAATTCGTACGTTATTAGATATCATTTAACCATCAAACTGATGGATCTACAAGCGATTTGGCATAAAGCTATTTTGCCTAATACTTTTAGAAAAATTTACCGATATATATATCAAATAAGAATGAGATTAAGCGCTTTTCAGTGAGGCATTAGAATACGATCCAAGCATTGAGAAAAACAGTATAAAGTATGATTCTCTTTTCCGTTGTTATAGCAAATTCCAAAGAACAGAAATCAGATAAGTATTTCACTTAGAACTGATTAATAAATTGTATATAATTCCATGAACCCCTCACTACCACAGCCAATACCCCCGGATCACGTGGCTACCATGTTAAAATAGAGTCATAAGGGCGTGGCTTGGTGGTATTACAAAGCGTCGCCTCCTGCGCTGTCGTAAGCCTAGGAACCAAGTTCGTTCTTGTACAGAGCGCTTCTTCTTCTTGATCAGGTTTAAGTTTGTGTTTGAGCGACCTGGGAGGGTCAGGAGTTAGTGGAGACCTTTCTCTCATTTGCCTCGTTTCGGCATCGGGCTTTAGGTCTTCGTAGACCTGGGGTCTTCTTTCAACGTACTTTAACATTTGAATCTGCCGCCCAGTCTACTTCCTCACCTACCACCCACACTCGTCGTAAAACTGTAATTTATCTTTCAACAATGATACTCTGACAGGTAAGCTGAACTTCGACCTCCGCAAAGAACGAAAAATGTAACATCATCACTAACTTCCAAAGATGTTCTGCGGAGAATCGCTGTTTCCAGATTATTTCTATATATAATTACTAAACCTTCGTCTATTTTATAATTTCACAAATATATACATTGTGTATGTTTTACATTCACCTAAATCACGGTATTTGTACGTTTCTGGACAATTAGATTGCTGGCCATCGTGTATTTTTAGTCAAACAAAACTTTGTACCTATTTTTGACTTGCCTTATAAACATCAAGTTTTCAAGCTGTCGGTGGCTCTTAGAACCAACTAAGCCAATATTTCGAACAGGATGTTACAATCTAACTCTCCGCGTGTTTCAAAATAACCAAACTAGTTCCCGACACTTTGTATTCTATTTGTTATAATTAAATATACAAATAAAGTGTTTATTAAGGTAACATTAAGTCAAGAAACAGAAACTTTATTTTCATACAACTGATTATCTGTACGGTGGTTTTGGTCTATGTTGGGGGAGGGGATGAGCTCACGACTCCTTTCGTCTCACCTTAGCGTAGGGTGCAACTCTGGACTAATGCAACGATGAAACACACTACTACAATCTGTATATATCAAAATACCGCACGGCCCTTTTCTGTAATCTCTATGTGTTATCATCACATAAGCACTAATATTTATAAATTCTCTAATGTCTGCCTTATACTAAAGTATGTATAAAATCACAAAAAAAATCAATTTTAACACAGCTGACGAGTTCCACAGAGTGTAAAGTAGTGCAAGGTAGTCATAGAGTTAACGTTATGCAATTCTCGTGATTATCGCGCAAATCCATACAAAGAACCTACGCATAACTCTCAATAATGTTTTTATGATGGACTGGAAGGAAGGCAACTAGTCAACAACACCCACCACTTATAATGCACCCATAAATCTAAAGTGGGAACACGAAACCAACTTCCAAAAGATACCTCTGTTCCTCAGAGATCAGGAGTTTTTACAGTTCTGTGCTTTCTCTTGAATTGGCCCGAGTACGGCTCAGTGGTTAATATGTCAGACTGTGGAGCTGATAATCCGTGGTTCGTGTCCAGTTACCGCAAAAAAAAAGCTCCGCACTTTGGAACCGTCAATCCGTTGTATAAGTGAGGGTCAAATACCATTATCTGGATTGACAACAGAGTTGGTGTTGGTTGGTATTGACTAGCTGCCTTACTCTAGCGCAGATAACCCTTTCTGAAGTTTGTGCAAAACCCATCAAACATATAAGTTCACTTGACGTTTCTTTGGTAATACCTATGTTTGCTAAGAATAATGCCGAGTCTCAAAATAATCCTCCACTTATTGTCCTCCGAGAAGTTCTTAGGATCGAGGTACAAGTCAAAATTCCATTTTATAGTTTGTATGCAGACAGTTATATCGTAACGACTGTTTGCCAAATGCGCTTAATGCTATAATATCATGACCATATCAACAACTGGTGATGCTAACTGCCGCTCATTAGCAGAATTAGCAGAACGGTAAAATGTCAGATTTAGTAATATATTCATAGCTCGTATTCCTCTTTCATATATATATATATATATATATATATCAAGCCAAATGGGGAAATGCAGATGACCATAATGACCGAGTTCGTCGAGATATTTTCCATTATGCTTTAGAATGTGTAAAAACAACGTTTGTAAATAGCATCATGCGACTAGTGTTGGATTACTTGAAGTACACACCAATAATGTAAGTTTATATCGCTGTTTAATTAACTAATGTAGTTCTGACTGGACCATTTGGAGGAACTAAAGTGAATGCGAGAACTGAACATGGTAATCCTATGAGGATCAGCGGGTAGAACCCTCAGAAAATGTGACATTTATAAACTATAAATCGAGAAATTCGAAAAATATATACGGTAAAACGCAGACTTGTAGTGTATGGCACTCTTAAAATTGTCAATAGGCTGACCTACCTGTCCTTCTGTTCCTCCACCTACTGACTGGACTTTAATACAATATAAGTTTCATTTCATTGCTTAATTTACTGAATTTGCTTTATGTTCCACTTTACAGGATAATCGTAATATTTTAGAAATTTCCAGAAGATCACCAGTTTTAACTCATTTATTCCGCTTAGTTAAATTATCCAAATTTATAACTCTCTGAACCTTATTTATTCAATGACTTTCTGGTGTGTTGTACTATAGTCTACACTAACCTTGAGATACCTATAACATACTTGATCTAGGGAAATTTTAGTTGTAAACGGAAACCTGTGCAGCAAGTTAGAAGTCTTCTTACGATATCTGATGATTGTTTTGTAAAACTCTTTCCCGGTCAAAAACGTGTGATTTTTACTACAACTACCTCACAAATATCTTGCTTTTGCGTTAAGATATTTCGAAGATAGACTTACAACACTTGATGGACGCTCAGTGATTGTGCACACGTCAATAAACGAATGAAGTTTGCTATATACAGCAAATATAATTAATGGCTGCTTTTCAAGGAAAAATGTTATATTTAAAGTATACTTTGATAGCATATCTTTAGTTAAGTTGATTTTATAATTTTACTGAACTCAGAGATTAAATAGTAATAAATATGCCAAGTTTAGAAATTGTTTCACACAATGTTTCTAACGCTCAAAAACACACAATTTACAAAACAACATTCTGTTTTCCCTCTTCGACTTTTTGTTTGTTTGAGCACAAAGCTATATAATAGGCTATCTGTGCTGTGCCCACCATGGATATGTTTTACGTTATGAGCCTTCACACTTACCGCTGAGATCCCCCAATGGGACAGCGGTAAGTTTACGTACTTACAATGCTAAAATTCGGTGTTTGATTACCCGCGTTGGACATAGCAGATAGCTCAATGTGACTTTGCTTTATTACAAACATTATAAACTCACCGCTGAGCCGCTTGGAGCTTTTTATTTGAAAATCGCAGAGTCGACCTGAAGACTATATACAATAATATACTACACTGGCTAACCGATAAGAGATCCATTATATAAACAACGCTTTAAAATGAAATAATACTTATTTTGTTATACCGGTAAATAAATGTTTCATCTCAAATGTTTGGTTCAATAACTAAGAAAATAATTATGTAAGTTAAAACGTTAACACGATCTTCATCATTACTCTTCCAGTACAGCAGTATCTTAATCGAAGTTGCGTGACTAAGCAAAAACTACCTTATAAGTTTTAGCATTATACTTTAAATGGCTGATCCATATTTAATTTATTACTTTTATCAAACTTTTTTAAAATTTCCCACTGCATGTTTACAAATGTTAATCGTAATAAATGTAATAACAGAACTAAAGCATATTACCCTGATCAGTTCGCGGAATTCATGTTACGACATGTTTCAAATTATTGTGTTGTCTCTTTCTTTAGCTTTCCTCCCACAAATCACCTCACGAGTGTTTCTTCTCGCTATACAAATTAGACATGGAAGCTAATCACTGAGAGTTGTTTCGAAACATGATTTGTCCTACTCAGAAAACACTCGCATTTAATCTCATTTAAAGAAAAATGTTATCCCTTATATAAAATTAAATATAAATACAAATGCTATGGTTATGTGTATAATATAAATATACACAGACGCGCAGTTCCAAATGTTCTATTTGTAAGATAAAAGTGCTAGTCACGGGAAACACCGCGGACTTACCCATCACTGACGAAACTTTCCTGCACTCAGCACATGTTATTCCTCGTTCACTCAAACATCGACCTCAAATCGTGCACAACACGACAGCCTGACTCGCAACGAACTAACCCTAGTTTCAACTGTCTGCTAACTCTTACCTCGTTCAACAACTACTCTCTCTTCCGCTATGACGTCTCACAGCCTGGGTTCCAGGATCTTGTAAGTTACCTAGCCTTACGTCATTTCCGTTTCTAAATGAACCCACCAAACCTTCTCCCACAAATTGGCATGCATGGACATACTATATCATCGATTTTACACTTTTAAATATTGTAGAATTGCATTCACATTAAGGTTTCTCCAGAAAAAAAAACAACAACTCAACATTCATATCGTATTTCAAACTGGATACTTTAAAATTAAAAGGAAAGGAATCAGAAGATTTCATACACATAATTGTAGTTAAGAATATATCATACGGTTTTCTATGTGTGTTTTTTAATACTCATTGTGACACATTTCTCCTAACACGTGTTAGCGGGTGAACTGTTATATCTCTTTCTTTCTCATCTTAGTGTTACAAGGAGTTAACTTACGAACTGTTGACGAGAACATAAGAACCAATTAACTTTTGATAGTATTTGCAGCCCAAAAGTTTTGTATAACTTGCATTGTTTTGTTTTTTTGTGTGTGCTTTAATATTTTTTCTCCCTTAGCATCTCTTACATCAGGCTAGACCAAGACCAAAATTAAAAAAAAAAAACTTAGAGAAAAGCAAAAAGGCAATACATCGTTGAGCCTTATCTAAGTGTACAATAACAATTGAAATATTCGAATTTTAGATATATATAAAGCAACGAGGTAAAAATAACGAATGTTGGCGTTTTTTATTGTTAATTCCACCGCGAGCTGTGGCATCGGGTAGTTTTTCAGTACAGCTATAAACAAGTCTTACAATTTTACACCTGATTTGAAAGTTTCTTACGTGAAATAAACACCCGCGAAGCTGGGATAAAGCGAATAGTCAGTGTTGAGAGGTTTCTTACTTTTCTGTATCAATTATTTTATATTAATTTTGGTCTGAAATCTTTATGGGTTGTTTATGATACTTGCTGGATTTATAATAAGACCGAAGCTGGGATAAAGCGAATAGTCAGTGTTGAGAGATTTCTTACTTTTCTGTATCTATTATTTTATATTAATTTTGGTCTGAAATCTTTATGGATTGTTTATGATACTTGCTGGATTTATAATAAGACAAATCTGTTGAATATATTGACGGCTTGAGAAAGTAGAGGAAGATAATATTTTAAAATGTGAATTGGATCAAGTCAGCATAATCATCTGAAATTCAGTCTCATTTCATTTATCTATTGAACATGGTTTCTTACTGCGATTCACACAATCTTGAAAGTTAATAAAAACCAAAGTTACATGAAAATTGATGACTCAAAATCGTCGTACATACTTAAGATTTCCAGCTAAAACACAGAGGAGAAAAAACACAAGTATACATTTATAAAATGTATGTTGATTGATACGTTCGTGCATGATTGACTCATGTATAACGAATACGTTTCAATGCAATGCAAAAGAAATCAGGACTAAAACACAAGTAACTTTTATCGATAATGACTTGAATCAAACGACATCAAACTTCACTGATTTATTATAACTTTACTGAATATCAAATACTTTTGTTTGTTTCAGAATTTTCATGCATGGTCACACATAGACTTCTCTAATTGTGAACTAGACTGAAAGGAAGGCAGCTAGTCAACATCGCCCATCACAACTCTTGAGCTACTGTTACATGACCGAACAGTCGACAGCTGACTGTCACTCTTATAGCGTTCCAACGTCTCCAAACTGCGCTTTGGCGGCAGAGAGATGCGGGCCACAAATACTCGATAATGACAGCCCGACACATTAGTCACTTGGGCCACGCCTGGTCTTATAAGATACTTACTTGATGAAATTAGACATCAGGTATTTTACTTTTTATTATGTGTCAACTTCCTTCAGTTGAAACAAATAACTAGTTTAGATCGTACGTCAAAGTTATACATACGTAAAACGTAATTTTTCCTGCAAAGCTGTATATACCTTTAAAAAATAACTATGTTATAATATCATAAGGCACCCGCACAACCGGAAGAGCAGATGTCAGACGTTGTTGTAAGGGAACTTCCCGTACATATACTTACCGGAATAAGTCAGTAGTCAACACATACCGATTATGATTTTCTAGGTGTCACTCTTTCCCACCGAAGTTTCCATACCGTTTCAAAGGGTCCTTTACCAGGTGTGTTTTATCCATATAAGAGTAGAAGTTTCTATTATGTTGTGATTCATAAGTTTAAAAGGGACCTTTACCGGGTGTGTTTCATTCATATCACAGTAGAAGTTTCTATTATGTTGTGATTCATAAGTTTAAAAGGGACTTACTTTTACCGGGATGTGTTTTATCCATATAATAGTAGAAGTTTCTATTATGTTGTGATTCATATGTTTAAAAGGGTCCTTTACCGGGTGTGTTATATCTATATCACAGTAGAAGTTTCCATAATGATGTGATTCATATGTCTAAAAGTGACCTTTACCGGGTGTGTTTCATTCATATCACAGTAGAAGTTTCTATAATGTTGTGATTCATAAGTTTAAAAGGGACTTACTTTTACCGGGATGTGTTTTATCCATATAATAGTAGAAGTTTCTATAATGTTGTGATTCATATGTCTAAAAGGGACCTTTACCGGGTGTGTTTTATCCATATCACAGTAGAAGTTTCTATAATGTTGTGATTCATATGTTCGAAACGGACCTTTACCGGGTGTGCTATAATTTTGTGATTCATATGTCTAAAAGGGACCTTTACCGGCTGTGTTTCATTCATATCACAGTAGAAGTTTCTATAATGTTGTGATTCATATGTCTAAAAGGGTCATTTACCGGGTGTGTTTTATCTATATCACAGTAGAAGTTTCTATAATGTTGTGATTCATATGTTCGAAACGGACCTTTACCGGGTGTGCTATAATTTTGTGATTCATATGTCTAAAAGGGACCTTTACCGGGTAAGTTTTATCCATATCAGAGTAGTTAAGTTGCTGGTGTAATATATACTTTTCTTTTCTCTGTACTAAAAATAATCAAAACATTGCCCACTGTTTACAAGTACTGATATCTGTTAAACTGATGTTTCATCTTATTGAACAGGATGCTAACACGTCAAGAATAAATTTATTTTCTACGTTGTTTTAAGCACAGAAATATGAAGATAGTATAATCAGACAGGGCTATTTTTACCTCGCAAGTTTTGTTATTCATATATCCATGTAATACTTTCGAGAGTGTCAAACAAGAACACGTCAAACTGGTCACTACGTCAGTGTTTTAACGGTTTGGATTAACGCCACATGAGTAACCCATTACAACATTAGTTACGACATTGGTCACAGCGACACAAGTTCGATATTCATATATTTATGCATGAATTTCGATCATCATCTTAGTTTTCTAGATGTTTGACACAATGGTAATTGCGTTTAATGTTACCTGTTTACCACCTCAGTTTATACCTCATCGACCCAATGCCAGGCAGATTTCAGTGTTATCTGTTTACCACCTCATCTTACACCTGGTTGACTCAATGCCAGGCAAATTTTGGTGTTATCTGTTTAGCACTTTAGCTTTTAACAGCACTATGGAAGATTCGAAGTTTTGTATGAATTTCTTAACCCGTTATTAATTCAATACGTAGAGACAAAGTGATATCTTACATTTTTCGTCACCTGAAATAGCAAAAAGATCTGGAAAATAATTTGGTAATCCGAAATACCAAGGATTATAATTACATTGCTTTATTTCCATCCAAAGGGGACTTAAGAGCTTCACCAATCAGGAGTTACACCTATAGCGCGTGCATTGCCCTATTGCTGCGTCATCACATAGGTATTGCTGCCAAATAACACAGACGTGAAAGGAAATAAAAACACATTTTTAAATCGTATTGGTGACACACACAGAGAAAAGGACTATACAAGAAGCTATAAATTAGTAAGCAAAATTATAAAATCTTGACGTATTAATAAGTTACTCATTGACAAATCTAATAATAAAATATTGATAAAAAATAATAAGAAATGCATAAAGTATGATATTAGGACGCTAAGGATATACTGTTTTAACAATGTTACAGAACAAACTTGCAGAGACAGAAAACAGATTGAAAACATTATATGAATGAGATATCACCACCATAGACTCCTCCCATCCTTATAACAACAAAAAAGTGCAAACTAAAATCATAATTTTAGTGGCATTCAAATTATCCGTTTTCTAAAGATGACGATAAGAATAAAATCTCAAAATGTGAACAACCTTTCTTTTACTAAAAACGGCTATTCAAACGCTCTTGCTTCTGACACTGCTACGAAACCCAGTGTTTTATTCTGTGAGTTAAGAACCAAGTAGTTGTATCCTTCTCGTATACGTAACGTCATGCCAAAAGATGTCATAATTAGTTTACTATAATATAACAGTTAGTATACTCTGCGCCAGAGGGAAAACCAAGTGAGCTAAGCCTTTTTAAAAATCAGTTGGACTTTCTTTAGATTAACTGTTTAGGTGATAAATTGTGTATTTTGTGATAAAGGGATAAACAATTAGCCCAGAAATAAACCTTGATATGTCGTTTTTTTTCTATGTGTAATTAACACCATAGCGAAGTATTTCATTATGTACTAAAGTGTATTTCATTCTTCCTATAGTGTAGTTTGTACCGTACTTTTTTATGTCGTTTATGTTTCACGGTTTTTGTACTTGTAATCTACATGGATGTTACAAAAGCCATTATTTCCTCAATTTGTATTCAAACAGGAATGATATATATGATTACTTATATATGGTACAGATTTCTTTTCTTTCTCACCATAGGTAAGATTGAAAAGATAATCTGTGACGTAGAAGCCTAGTGCTTTAATGGATTGGCCGTATTCTCTGCTGTGGGCTAATGTTAAGAAATGATATATATTTGTATATTACATATAATTTGCAATCGACAAAATAACATATCTTCATTTCATCTTCAAACTGAATTGAATTTACAGAATCTTCACATAGATAGATAGGT